TTGTTGTTGTTGTTGTTGTTGTTGTTGTTGTTGTTGTTGTTGTTGTTTCATCACACCTGATTTAAAGAAGTGCCATTATCGAACATATTCCAGGTTAATGCTTTCCTGACCCAATCATTTCATGGAATGGAGAAAAGAACTCTGCTCTGAACTCTGATTCTGTTAAATAATTACCAATTGTGTTTTTTGTTTTTTGTTGTTTTGTATACTTCCAGTGGTGGGTACAGTTCTGCTAATCTGCTAGTTTATTTGTTTAGTGGATTAGCATTTTCGCTAACTGTTAGTAGAATTAGTTTCAGCTGAATTAGGTTTCACCAACTTGAAGTCCGCTAACAAAATTCACAACCTCCTTCCTGTCCATTGTGGGCGTGTCTTAAAGAGTGTGTGAGGCATGCTATTGGCTCCCTACGTGTACACGTGACAAAACGTGACTGGTCGACACCGTTTCAACTGGAAGGAGACGAGACGTGATGCAGTCTTAGTGGTTAGCAGTTTAGCGTTAGCTCCTACTAAAATGTTTTACAGTAGCCCCTCGTTTATTGCAGGGGTTACGTTCCAGACCCCCCCCCCCCCCCCCCGGCAGCAATAAGTCAAAATCTGTGCAGTAGGAACGCTATGTTTATTTTAGTATTTAAAAATATTTTAAGGCTTTATAAACCCTTCCCACACTCTTGCAATGTTCTAAACTCTTAAACCTATGTCATTTTAACAACATGCGTACAAGTTCTACAAAATTTTACTCACCAGCTCTGCAGAACAACAGCAGCTCGGTTACAGTCAGTCGATCAGACTCGGTTCTGGTTCTGCAGACCTACCCTGCAGCAACAAAGCCCACAATGTTCTAAACTCTTAAACCTACGTCATTTTAACAACATACGTACATGTACTGTACAGTAGCTACTAAATTTTATTCACCAGCTCTGCAGAGCAGCAGCTCTGTTCTGGATCCGTCTCCGTTCTGGTTCGGCAGACCTGCAGGTTCTGGTTGGCCCTCTGCAGCCCTTGAGCACCAAAACGCTTTTGGAGGGAGCCGGACTTTCAGATGGCTATCACAGAACCACATGGTGGTCGAGATCGAGTCCAAATCTGGATGTAGGAAGTTCCGGGACCTCTGGGCAGCGCCGCCCCACTCTGAAGGCCTCGTGGGACGGCATACGACGCTCAGATTCACCGATGAGTCTGGAGGACCGGTTTTGGTCCAGTTCCCAGTCAGTTCCATGCAGTTCTCTGCATCCTCTGGGTGCCGAATTCACTGTGAATAAGGACCAAAGTTTTTCTGATCAGCTCAAAACTTTCCCTCTATTTCAGCAGAAGTCAACGGCTGGAAGCACTGTTGTCTTCTGGGAAATGTAGTTGTTTTGAGTGGCAATACAGTAGACTTATTTAGAGAAAACTACAAAATGGCGGCACCTGTCCCAAGTATTTTATTTTTGTTAACTTTTTACTTTACAGTATCCCATACTGTTCCCATCACGAGTAATATGCTGTGGCTGAGTGGTTAGAACAGTCGTCCTCCAATGTAAGAGTTGGAAGTTTGAATCCACCAGCAGTCACATGCCGAAGTGTCCCTGGGCAAGACACTGAACCCCTCGTTGCCTCCGATGTGTGTCCCATCATTGTATGAATGTGATAAAGCTCTGATTAGTCTCTTTAGAATGATTTGTTCTATTAGCTTTGTAGAGATCTTGTAGTGTTTGTATGAATGGGTAAATGAGGACACAGATTGTAAAGTGCTTGATAAGATAGAAACGTGCTATATATAAGTACAGTCCATTTACCATTTACCATTAAAGTTGACAGTCATGTGTCGTGTACAATCTTACTTTGAAAAACAGCAAAAAATGCGAGTAACAAGGGGCTATTGTACCTGTTTAGCGTTAACAAAGCAAATTTTTTTAGTTAGCAGAATATGGATTAGCGAAGCTAACTTTGTGGTTAGCTGTGCCCACCACTGCATATTTCAGTGTCTATAAACAAACATCACTAAAACATGTTTGAGTCACAGAGCTACTTCTAACTGGAGCTAATAATCAATAACTGAGTCCATACAGTAATTGACCCCTGAACGCCTACAAAACTGAACCCAGTTTGGATGTCCACAGAGTTTGACCGGTTTTTGGCAGAAAGAGCTAAAGCAGCTGAGCGCCTGCCGTCTCTGCGAGCCTCATCACAGGACATCAACTCCTCGGAGTCGTAATGTCTGCATGACGCAGACAAACTAACATGCCTCATGAAGCCCTGACACCGCTGGCTGCAAGACGGAGATTTGTTCTTCATTAACGGTCGAGTGGAATGTGTCCAGTCTGTGACGGAGGAAAAACGTTGTACCTGTTTGTGTAATCTGTAGTAGAGAGGAAACATATTTTTAACAGGATGAAAATGTATTTGCCGAAGGAAAGACGTTTCTACTTGACATTAGTATGAGGGTATGTATGTGAACAAACCTTTGCACATTTTTTATGGCTACATTCCTGCTGTCGAAAGAAAAAAACTGTTGTTACAACTTTGCAACTTTTCTCATGTTCTATTGCTGTTAATGTGTGTACGGTAAATGTGAAAGGTAAAAGAAAATGGCACAATAACATTCACTGTAAGAGAAGATCAAATGTAACATACTGTAAGATTTTAATGCTTTACATCAATATAGTTTGATGTGGAAGAAAGATATTTTTACTTCCAATTCTCCCATTTAAGTGTTTTATTTGAAGTTTAATAGAAAGTCCTGACAAGCTGCTGTCATACATTAAACTATTAACTGGAAAGCTTAAAAAAATAAGCCTCGACAATCTTTTTTTAACATATGATAAACTTTTAGCGTAAAGGTTAGGCTAATAAGGAAAATATACTAACACCCTTCAAATACGTCATCTTTAGATGCAAATTGACAGAAAACACATAAAGTACAATTATTTCTACAAATTGTAAATTTATTAGAGAATGTTTTATTTACAGTTGAATTAAGTTAATGTTTTTTCTCCCCATCAAAATTCTGTAACTAGAGAAACTGCATTTCCTGCACTAATGCAATATGGATGCTTTTTGCAGAAGAACTTGCTAAAAAACAGCTGAAATTAGCTAAAAACAAATCTCGAAGTGTAGCTGAAATGGAAGAACAAGCCTAAATTAGAAGAAAGCAGAAAGAAGACATATTTGCTGCATTACATTTAAAATAATTTAGCACAAAAATTAGAAATTAGCTAAAAAAAGGTAGTTGAAAAGTAGCTGAAAGAAGCTTAAACTACCAGCTGAACCTGAAAGAACGGATATAAGCTCAAAAAACGTGGAATTCGCTGAAAAAGCTAAAATTAGCATCAAGAGTAGCTGAAAGAGCACAAAAAACAAACTAGCAGAAAAAAATTGAAAAGAGCATAATAAGCTGAAATTAGAATGAAGTTAATTAAGCTGCAAGTAATTTGCAGTTAATTAAATTAAGCTAATTAAACTGCAGAGATTAACATGAAGATTTTGAAACAACTGAAATTACCAAAAAAAACGCTAAAGAGCTAGCTGAAAAGTTAGAACAAGCTTAAATTAGTAAAAGAAAGCAGGAATAACACATTTGTCCAATTATGCTGAATAAAAATGAAATGAGCACAAAAAAGTGGAAATTATCTGAAAAAAACTGAAATTAGCCAGAACAACAAAAACAGCTGAAAAGTAGCTAAAACAGCAGAAAGAATGTTACATCACCAGAAGGAAGTGGAGAGAGAACATTTTTGCTGAATTAGGCTGAAAAATTAAATTATTGCAAAAAATGTAAAATTACCTGAAAAAGCTAAAATTTGCACAAGATAGAGCTAAATAGTAGCTGAAATAACTAATGCAGAAATAAGCTGCAAGTACCAAAACAAACTGAAATTAACAGAAATAAGTTAATTTGGCTAAAAGTAGCAGAAATTAGCACCAAAAACTTTAATTTATCTGAAAACAGCTGAAATTAGCTAAAAAAAAAAAAAAGTAGCACCTAACAAGGGAGTGTCAGAAATATCTATGAACACACATGCAGCTAGTGTACCGAGCTACTACTGTTGCACTTGACTCTTCCCAGCTCCTCCACCTCCTCCTCCGCCTTTTGATTTGCTTCCACCCTCTCCTGAAGACCGCTGCATACACTGAAATGATGAGCGTGAACATACAAATGCTTCCACAAGTTAGTTTATAAGAAGATTTGTGTTGGTCTATATTAGCAGTTTAGTCAAAGTCAAATATCAAATATAAACTGGGTATAAAACTAAAAATATAAACTCCATGTAAACAATATTCCTTAATAACCAAACAAACAAACAAAAAAACAGACTGAATAGAATTCAAGACCAAAACAAAAATAAAAACAGATTTAAATGTGACGAGTGAAAAAAAAAATTTTTTTTTTAATTAAATGGGAGTTCTGTGGAAACTTTATGAACAATTAATATCCTACATGTTGCAGATAGCTCTTTGAACAACCTCAATTTTGAAAAATAGAATCTAGTTTTGACCAGATTGATGAGCAAATGGTCCAAACAGTGACCAAAGTGGATTGCTGCCATCATAAATCTTTGATCTCAAATCTCAGTTCATGCAAGTATTCACATTAGAGCCTGGCCGATATGGAAATTATGGCTATCGCCGATACCGATACTGGGAGGAGAGGCTAATGCTAACTGATATAATGGCTAAAAAATTTTGAGCTTTGTCTACCCCCAAGAATCTAAGAAAACAGCGAGTGGAGCAGGCCTTGTGTATTTAACGCAGCTGTTAGCAACCATGAAGCTAAGCTAATCAGATCGATGCTATACTAGTCCCACTGTAGGTTTACAAGTGGTGTACACAGGTTATAAAAACAGTCTTCCTAATGTGCGTTCACATTTTCTATCCTTCACTTTTCACCATTAAGTTATGAAGTGTGTTACAAAAATACAAATTAAACAAAAAAACGCCCTTGTTCATTGTTTAAACAGTCAGTCACGTATGATGAAGGTCTAATTAGTACTGACCACGGTAGCATTTATTTTTCTTTGAAAAGTTAAGTTAAGAGAAGTTAAGATTTCAGATACAATGCATTTCATTGAGGATGACAAAGATAACATTACTAACACGCCTCACATACTGGAAGCTCAGTCTGACAGGACTGGTTGTTGTAACTACTGACAACAGGATTAATGTCATGAAGGCTGTGCAACTGAACACGAACATTAGCTTGCTAACTTGAGAGGCACGTAGCTAATGACAAGCGGGTTGGAGGATTGAAGATAATTTATTATTGTTGATTTTTTCATTCTGTTTTACAGATCAGTTAAAATAAACTTACCATGCTCTGTTCAGTTAAATTTGCCACACAGTATTGCTCTCTTTATTGTCTGTGAATGTGAAAGTGAAACTTAAGTGAACAGTCCTGACTTGAGTCTTCATGCGCTCTCTGCTGGATACATTGTACAATTACAGCTGGTTCCTGCATTTTAGGGGTGAAAATTAGAAGTGCTTGTATCAGCGCACAATGGGACAATTATCACAATACCGATATTCAATTCAATTCAAAAATACTTTATTAATCCCAGAGGGAAATTAAGTGTTGTAGTAGCTCATCATCCTGGTTTTATTCAAGAGTTGTTAGATGCTGATTGCTGTGGGAAGGAAGGATCTCCAGCAGCGAATACGAAGAATCTGGCCACAGATACTGATCTGTCCACCCAGATCCAGCTTGCTGTCAGATCCGGCTGGCCTCTCGGTCCTCCTGGGCAGCAGAGCCACCCGAATGCCCACCAGAACTCCTCCCAGAGCGATGCCCACTCCTCCCAGCAGTCTGCCGAGCTCCTCGTCACTGCGGACAGCCAACTGTAGGTGTCGAGGAACGATCATGTCCTTCCGCTGTCATGACCCATGTTTCCTGCTAGTTCCAGGATCTCAGTGGTCAGGCACTTGAGCACAGCTGGCAGGTAGATGAGAATGCGTCCACAGAACATCCTTTTCAACTCATTTGATATTTGGGGCTGTAGTGGAGATATTATTTGAGCTTTTGAGTTGTTAATCAGCTGCTGTTGGTTGTAGAAAACTGCCTTGTTGCCATGGTTACGCATCATAACAAATGTACAAAACTAAAAAAAGTTTCAGTAAAAATCCTTCCAGCTGCACAGCAACTGATACCAGAGGAAACGATCATCCAAAAAAATGTGATTTTCATCCAGAAAAAGAGGAATTAAAGTTTCCAAAAGCAAAATCTCAGAATGAAAGTAACAGAGCTGCTCCAACATGCAGCCACCTTGAGCGGCGCAATTCTAGAACAACTAGAACTCTACAATATGTCCCCAAATGTCTATATCAGCCTAAAATATCAGCTCTACCGTCAGACTCTAAGTCACATGATTTATAACCGATTATAACAGATTTATAACCCTTTACACTGCTGTCAGTTTAGCATTATAGTTTATTCCAACACTAATATTATGTTATATCTGCAGGAAGTGCCCCTGGCTGTGCCACAAGTGCAACTGCTAGCTGCTACTGCCGTGTTTTACGCTACAAATAACCATAAAATTATATGTAAATTTTGTGACTTGAGTTGTTTGAAGGCATCAGTGACCTATGTCTCGCTCAGACTAGATTTTAGCTCATCGGTCCTGTCAGAGTTAAACAATTTCTCCAGAGACCAAAGAACTATCTACAACAGGTAAGATATTAACTGTTTATAGCAATTCCAGAAAACTCATTTCAAGAGATAAGAACTATCACTTTAAGTAGAGATTGCTAAATTGCTATAAAACTTGTACAGTGTGATGTTCCTAGTTTCAACCCAAGATCTGACACTTTCTAACTGCTGTGAGTCCATCAGAAAAATGTTTGGTTTTACGTAACAACAACTGAACTCTTTGTTTGGCTGTTTTTATGTAAAGTGAGGAAGTTACTTCACGTGTGCAGTCGTCAGTTTGCAGCTGCTACAATGAAAGAATCGATGAAGAAGGAAATAGCAAGTGCACTGCTCTCACAATCAACTTCAGAGAAAAATTCATCACCTTCCTTTAGTTAACACAAGTTTATTTGAAATAATTGATATTTTTAATAAGCTGTCAAGAATACAAAAGAAAAAAACTGCAAGCAGGTTTTCATTTCAACTCATAGCACCACAAATATTAGGGAGGACAAGTGAACAGGCAAAGCACCATTTTATGAAAACATGATTTTATATCAGTGAGGTGATTTTAATTCATTATGTATGAAAATGGGCTGATCTGGAACAAACAGTTCAGATACATATATTGTTTCTACAATAAATAAATACATTTGTTCTTACTGTTGTTTTCTTTTTCCTTCCTGAAGTTCTGTGCCTGCTTCTCGTGATGCTTCATGGATACTTTCACAATCTCATCGGGGCTGATACCAGAAATAAACAGATTAAAACCATTTTAAATTCCTTATTAAACGTAATTTATTTAACTGTCACCATGTGTTATTTACAGTGCAGAGCAGTACAAAAGTTATTTGTAAATGATGTAAGTATTTTCATTGATATTTAAAGTGTGTGTTTCCAGAACTATGGGAATAAAAACTCAAGTCTTCATCTCTGACATCGTCAAATTAAAGCAAACTGAAGGTTTTCCCCCTAGATACCTATTTTATTTTAGGAAAATGTAAATAACTAAGCAAATATTATCTAAAAGATCATCTTTTTGGCCCCATTTCTACAAAATAAATGACTGTTTTCTATGTTAATTTATTTTTGATTTAGTACCTCATAAACAATAGGCAGCAAAATAAAAACTGAAACATACTGACATAAAAGCGTTTGAGAAAAATAACAGAAACTGTGATCATTTGAACAAGCTGAGGTTGTGTCTGTCCATTCATCTAAACTCTGCTTTAACTCCGGCTTCATAAAAATGTCCAAAATAGGGGTAAACTACAAATGCTGCTCTTTCTTGAGCAAGCATGGAGGCAACAAGGAAAAACTCCCTCATGAGGAAGAAACCTTTAGCAGAACCAGGCTCAGGACAAGCGGTCATCTGCTTTGACCGGCTGGGTTTGGTAGGAACAGATACACAATGGCAGGTCAAGAATCACATGTTAAGATAGAAATAGTATCAAATGAAAACTATTCAATTTTAACAATTATTTTAAGGAAATGTGGAAAACTTGTTCTCCAGTAGTGTAAGCCTATAGCTGCATAACAAGCCAACCCTAACTCACACCTAGGGACAATTTAGAGTTACCAATCAGTCTAACATGCATGTTTTTATTCTGTGGGAGGAAACCGGAGAAAACCCACGCATGCACAAAGAGAACATGGAGTGTGTATATATATATATATATATATATATATATATATATATATATATATATATATATATA